ATTTGTTTTTTGCTTTCAAAGTTTTAAAAGAAAACAACCTAAACACGATTTATTTTTGTTGTTTGAAAAATATAGTTGTGGATTCGTTAAATCTGGCTTGAAACAAATTATTTATAATAATCTTTCTTTGTTTTACATTTATATTTGTTATCATTTCCTCATTTCTAAATATGGTTTAGTTTTTTCTAAATATGGTCACCCAAATTATAAAGGCGACCAAATGGGATCAGCTGTTTTCGCTACCGCTCTAATTCTGTTTAAGTAGGCGCAATAGCTGGGCGAACGGTGAACGACAGCATCGCCCAATTCGGCGAAGTTTGCCGTTCGCCGGTATTGTATTTCAAGCATTATAGTGCAAAGGCATTAACATATGGGGTATTCACAACGGTGTCGTAAGTGTCGTATTGTTGTATGTCGTAAACTTTAAACGCCTAAAAATATATTAAGCGGGTTCGCAAGGTACCATCAGAGTCATATTATGGATTTTCGTAGTGTTTAAAAATAGTTGGGGTTGTGGTTTCAAGTCCTCTAAACATTTATTTAAGCTTTTAAAGTTTACGACATAGAACAATACAACACCTACGACACCGTTGTGAATCGCTCAATAATAAATGAAACAACATATCGAGCCCTAACCGCCAAAATAACTTAAGCGACATTTTTTTCCAAATTTTATTTTTAATTATGAAATGTTGAAAAAATTGTCCCTTACGTTATTTTGGCGGTTAGGGCTCGATATTACAACGCAATTTTATTATTTGTTATTCGAATATGACTGCATTCACCATATGTAATGGAAAATGTCAAGTAAAAATCGTGCGAGAACCTACATATTCAGATAGAACGAGAAATTTGTTTTTGCTTTTTTTAGCTACTATCTCCTTCTTAACTTCTAATAGTGACGAAGTGATGACATTCTGACGTAACAAAAAAGTTTAAACATGAAAGTCTAAAGTAGCCTCTTGAGCCGCGCTTACTGGCATCACCTCTATGCACAGTGGAAGAGCCCCATATAAAATATGGCATTAATTTTACTGCTAAGAAACACTTGTTTCAAAATTTATTTTCAAACGTGGCTGTATTCGAGCAGCAATTAATGCGGCAATGTTACTTTTTCTGAAACACCACGTTCTACGCAAAAATTTCGGCGATTCTGCCTACATCACCTGTGGGCAAGAATTATGCTTCGTTCGATATCTGGCTGACAGTATGCTGGCCCCTTAGTAACAAAAGTCCTTTATAGCTTCGAAGTAATGCTGAGCACAATGTCGTGCTCCATTTGTTGGTTGCTAGGAGGTAATTTGAATTTTCCTCATTCTCCGCTAAACCAATACGTTTTTCTTCTTTCTTAAGGTTTAGTAACAGCTCGAAAAGTTCAAATGTAATTGCATTGAATTTGAAATAAGTGGAACACACATTTTCTAATGAGACTAATGGGCCTCGACGTACTAGTCCTTTCAGACGTTTTGAGCCAGTGATGGAAAAGTAGGCACAATAGTGCCATTTTTGGCACTTTCATTTTCAGAGGCACTTTTGGCACAATTCATCCTGTGTGGTACAATCATAGATTATAGAAATTTAGGATAATATGCCAATATATAACATAACATGAAAATTAAAAGCTCTAAAAAATTTAAATAAGGGTCTTGAGAAATATTGTGAATACGCAGTACAAAACGTACGTTTTCGCAACAACAAACTTTTCATTTAGAAGTTTTAGAAAGATTCTAAGTTTGCAGTTTTATAGTCCATTAATTACAAGTGCAAGTTTCTGCAAAATCCAGTTGATTTTTTATATTTTCAATTTTTGCTGACGGCGCCATATATTTTCATTCATTTACAAAAATTTTCGAACACACTTCATATGAAAAAAAAACGCGTAAAATCGTTAATATGGAATATCTCTAAAAATTCTTAATTAAAAGTTTGTGGTATTTCTTCTTGGTAATTGGAATACTATTTTCCTATGAATTTATGTATGTACATATGTTTTAGGAATCCTTCATCAAAGTGATTTACTGTAATAATTGAGTTAATTAAAAACTATTATATCTGTGGTCATAAACAATAACCGCCTAAGTCGACTTAAGAAGGAATTGAGTTATATGCCATCGTTTTCTCCAACTACTATTCCATGTGTATGAGAAACTCCCCATCTCGTTAGCTACGCTATTTAAAATGCTATAGATGAAAATATTTTGGTTTCCCCATAAGGTTAACATTACAATCCAAATCCTTTAAGCATTTTTTCTCGAATTCAGGTTTTTCGATTTAGGTGATTACTGCTTATGACCACAGTACTTCAGTGTATTATAAAAATATAATTTCTAAAAATATATTGTTCTTAAAAGGCCTTAAAAGAAAGCAATTTTAATTTTGTGTCACTTTAGGCACATTTTAAAAATTTGGTTTGGTCTGAGCAGACTAACACGCGAAAATACACTAGACTTTTTATACGATATATGTCTGTATATATAGTTGTGTTAGTAAGAGATTTTTCAGACCGAAGTCATACCGCATTTTTCGCCGTCTGAAATTGCTGAGATAAAATATTATTCCCCTTCTCGCTCTTGAAAAACCGGTTTCAGACGGTCTGAAAATGCTAATGTATTGAGGTTCAATAAAGCATATCGACTGATTTACATCAATTATATAGTATGCAGATCTCTCACAAGCTTTATATTTTTGCGACATAAGATACCAAGCAAATGCGAGAGCCTGGCTTAAAGCAACAGGGTTGATCCGGATCAACTCGTATTTCGGAATTATCTTGATAAATCACTGCAAATGATCCGGATTAAGTCCTGCAGATAATCCTCATAATTAATGCGGTTCAGGGAAATTTTCGATGCTGGCCAAAACGGACAGCTTTTGTCTATTGCTCAAGTAAGCAAACAAAGAAGGCTCCGCGGTAGCCGAGTGGTGAGAACTGCGTACTACAATTCCGTAGGACCACTTCGATCCTTGGTTCGAGCGATGAAGGAATAAAAAAAAACTATACTGGCCGTCGGACTCGCGGCTCGTTAATCCGCATTACTGCCGTCTGTCAAGGCACAATTTTGATCAGATCAATTCGGATCAACGCTGTCGTCTGTCTATGCTTTTACATACAAAGAGTCTGTGGGCGAGCAACTTTTTCAGAAGCAAAGTCAAAGGAGCTCTGGTGGCATGCGAGGTAAATATCTACGGCAAACGTTTTCCATACAAAATACATTGGGCGTCAAAATAAAAGCGAGAATAACTTTCGTTTCGATGCATTGCGGCAAATTTTTTTTCTGCAAATAATTACTAATAGAACGTACAATAATATTACCCAAAAACGCGATTTTAAAGCCATTGAGAAGTCAGTAATATTAAAAAAAAAATTCATAACTTTTATAAAAAAAATTCATGGCCAACTAAAAAAAAAAAAATCGCAGAAACCACCATAATTTTCAACGGTTTAAATATGAGCAGAATCGGCATTACCAATCGCGAGAAAACAATTAAAATCTAAACAATTTCGAAAAATTTTAATAGCTATAACTTCCAAAAAATAATTCGAGTTTCGAAAAATTGTGAAACTTGTATTCTTCTTTTATCGTTGTGAGGCATAAACAGATACTAATTGCACAAAAAAAGCTCCACCCTCGAAAAAATGGTGGCCCAATTCACAAATGTTTACTCAGCTGCATACACACTTTACGAAAATATATTATGTATATTAAAACTAATCCAAAAATATCAAAAGAAAAAAATTTGCTGTCAATGACTATTTATCTATGTACATATATCTATACATTAGTACATACATACATACATACATACATGCATACATATATCTACGTAAATATGAGTTTTTATATGCAATTGTTCGTACTCGCACCCAGGCAAAAGTCAATGAACATCCGACGACCGTCGAGTTCAGAGATCAATTATAACAATTAAAGTATTTTTATCGTTGATAATTTAATCAATGGGAGACAAATTTTTGGAAGAAGCGTTTATTTATTTACATATCGATGGCTGAGTGGAAGATCGACCTATCTCGGCAGCCAGTTCAAAAACGCCCTATCTCAGAAAACTTTTCAAGAACGCTTTATGTCAGAATTTGGTTGAAGAACGCTCTATCTTGGAAATCGGTTCCAAAACGATCTATCTCAGAATTTAATTGAACAACGCTCCATCTCAACTGCCGATTCAAAAACACCCTATCACAATACATTTCCAATGTATTTTCAGCTGAGATAAGGCGTTTTTGAACCGAATTCTGAGATAGGGCGTTCTTCAACAAAATTATGAGATAGGGCGTTTTTTCTATAAAATTCTGAAATAGGCCGTTCTTCAATCAAATTCTCAAGTAGTAGTAGTTTTTGAATAGTTTTCTGAGATAGGGCATTTTCGAACTGCCCCTGCCGAGATAGGTCAATCTTCTACTCAGCCATCGATGTATGCGAAGAATACTTAGAATGCATAATAATAGTTAGCAAATGAGTAAAAATTTGTAAAGTGGGCCACCATTTTTTCGAAGGTCCAGCTTTTTTTATGCAATTATCCGTTTATGCTTCACAACGATTAAAGAAAAATACAAGTTTCACAATTTTTCGAAATTGCTTGGATCTTAATTGTTTTCTCGCGATTGGTAATACCGATTCTGCTCATATTTTAAACAGTTGAGAATGATGGTGTTTTCTTCCCAATTTTATTTTCACGAGAAAACAATTAAAATCTAAACAATTTCGAAAAATGCTAATAGCTATCACTTCCAAAATAATTCGAATTTCGAAAAATTGTGAAACTTGTATCTTTCTTTTATCGTTGTGAAGCATAAACAGATAATTGCGTAGAAAAAGCTCGACCTTCGAAAAAATGGTGGTCCACTTCACAAATTTTTACTCAAATATCTTTAAATTTTTTCGTATAAAAATATTTTTCAATCAAGGATGGATCGATGCTAAAAGGGAATAAAACAACCTGCGTATAAGATATTAGCGAAATTCTTCTTTTATTTAAGACTCCATAACATCATTGGTCAGGTTATTGGAATAGATCCACGACTTCGTAAATCGCCACAAGAAAAAGTCTAGCGAGGTCATATGTATAACGAATATGTACCTCATAAATATACATACACATGTAATGTGAATAAATATTGCAGTATCATGTATTTAATACCAAAAATAATTTAATGTATTGTTAATAAATACGAATAAAAAATTTAATACAATTAGTAATTGTTTTAATATTGCTTGAAAATCTTCACATTGACATACATACATATGCATGTATGTGTCTTAAAAAAACGCACCGAAATTTTGCGCTCGAATTAAAATTTACTCTCCGACGTTTATTCTTTGTTGTCATACCGCTTATTCCGGCGGCGTATTATCATGTATCCACTCAGCGAAATGCGCGACGGATGTGTAAACGCTTGGTATGCGCAAGCCGCCGCAATTATCCGAGCCGAAGGACATTATGCCGATCTGTTGATATGAAAATCAAAAAATTACATATATTTATGAAACTATTTAATTTTGTAGAAATTTCAATGTACATACACCCACCTGTGAGTAAATACCATTTTCCTGTATGAAAAGCGGTGCACCGCCAAAGCCCTGACACACATCCTTACCCTCACCGCCTGCGCACATCCACTGTCCTTCTATGGAATTGGGCGACTCCAGTGCACCGGTCGAGCCATAATTACGCAAACATAAATCCCAGCTGGTTAATGGCACATCCAAGTGCGCCATCTCTGGTTGACGTGTACTGGAGGTAGACATTTTACCCCAGCCAGCGATCGTCGCTCGTTTACCCACCACCAAGTTTGTACGCGACTTTTGTAGGCAAATTGGTTGAGTGGCGACTATGAAGTGGTGTGGACGAGGTAATAATAAAAATTATGAAATTGTACAAAGAAAATAATTTAAAAAAAACAAAATTTCCTTAGAGTAAAAAATGTAGTGCATAGGTTCTGGTTACAAGGAATAAATAGATTTTCGAAATAAATATCTAAACAGGGAAGGAGCAATGGTGACTGGAAGTTGCGATATGACATCAGCGCCACAGTTTTCGTTTCGAATACCAAGCGCAAACTACTACTGGACAGTGGCAAATTTTCGACTAACTTGGTTCAACATTTTTTTCCGAAATTATAATTTTTTTTTTTTACTTGGAACGAATTTGATTCTCATATAATCGAGAAATTCATACGAGGTTTTGATTGAAGCCGCCATATTGGATCTGCCATTTTGAATTTCGCAACTCTATCAACGACCTGAAAAACGTGTTTACCACCTTTTTAGAAAGATTTTATTTTTGGTTTGATGGTATCTTTTTTTAAATCCGGGCTTAATCTCTTCTAAAATCCACTCCAAGTATTTAAAAAAAAATTTCATTTGGGCAAAAATTTACTTTTCTAGCAATATTTAAACCAAAATAAGTCGAAAATTTCCTACTGTGCACTGCACAAAACGTATTCCAGAATAATATTTATGTATAATAAATTAAGTTGTAATAATCAAAGAGTTCAGTAGTCTGGTGCAACAAGTAAGATCAGGCTATACCGTAGCGTAAACATCATTCTCATAAATGGAGTTGCAACAAAGTAGCAGGTATAGCAGCAGCCGAAGAAGGGACGATAAATCGTCTTAATAAAATAAATTTCGGAAATCGTAAACGTACGATCATAAAATCAAATTTTATTGATTACGTTTTGGATTATTGCACTTTATGATTGTTATTATTATTAGGGTTCAAATAATAAATAATATCAGAACAACAATATTGCATATTTATGTATAAGTAGACATGTACAGATTAGGGTGGTCGATTTATGTTTTTTTTTTTTTTTTGAACAATTCGCCCTTACAGACATGTGAACGAAATGCGAAATTAACCCAAAGGAACGCACAGAACAAAAACCACAAGCAAAAAAAAAACACATAGCTTAAGTGCAGAGAAGAACGCGTACTTGGCTACCAATCAGCACTCGACTCTATCTACGACATTGCTGGAGAGTTCTAGGCATACACTGCTGATGAACTTCTGACTACCTTGAGGGATGGGATGCGACCCTGAAGTGCCAAGTAGTGATGTGGAGTACAAGAGGTGCCTAATTTCGAGACCACCTCTCCGCAAGAAGAAGAACCATAGGTAAAATGCCGGCACTGCGAGATTGCTATGGATCACCATCAAGCAGCGGAAAGCCCGTTCATGACAAACCCTACTCTAAGACTTGATTCTTTGCGTGAGTCCTTAAGTGATTTTTGGATGAGATTTATAGGGATTCGCGAATCTGATGCCAAGGACGCCAACCAGTTATTGGGCGGCATGAAGCTAAAAACGATGTAAACGAATATATCGTCGAAGATGCCAACCAGTTGTTGAGAGACAAGACTCTACACGAGGGTAAAGCTGAGTACGTCAATGAGCGTGGTTCAGGTAAACTTAAGGCCGCTTCGGAGTACCTTCTTGTCTTCTTTAATGGATCCGATTAGCACATGAATTTTGGGTAAGGGATCTGACGCTGATCCCTATAATCTTTTTAACACCAGTATGTCAGGAAAATTCCAAGTCTTTATATTGGTCAAAAAACATTTAAAAAGCCTTATGATAAAACTTTAGCTCTCCGTTTCTGACGAAGTGCAAAAAAAAAGGGAAAGTAAGTGCAATAAAATGGAGAGCACATATCTGTCGAAGAGACGTATGCAGTTCCCCGTCTATGGATCACTGATTAGCAGATTTGCCAGGAACCTTCTTGTCTTCAAAAAGCAATACAATCATTTTTTGGCACAGATTCCGTGCACCCTAATGAAGGTTAGACTGCCTGCAAGTCGGTGCGTGCAACATTGTATTCAAGCTACAAATGTTTACATATAGGCATACTTATGGTAAGACCTTTACCTACTTTGGCTGCACTAAATTTTTATTTTATTGGCTCACAATTTACTCCCGTATAAGCCGCTATACAATTTTCCGTTTGTCAATCAATATCACGTACAACTCAGCGCTCTTTGTTGTTGAGAGCACGCCAACGTAGAAGGATACCAACGAGATCAGATGCAACGCTGTCATTATCGACATTTTTCAATTTCGTCGCTGTAATGAGTTTTATGGCTTAATAACGTGAGATTCGTACGCGCCTCTTGTGTATTCAGCAACATTGTATCGAAAAAGGCTTGCGCGTGCGCTTGTGGGGTCCTCGGTGCAGCCAAAAAAATCGCCACAGGCTTTCAACTCGCACTCACTCACTCAAATCATCCAATTAAATCAGGTTGTAAATCACACCTAGCTGGTGCCGAGCCTTTCATTTGACGTTTTTCATGCTTAGCTGGTCCACAATGTGTACAACACAACGGCGCAGCGTGTTGCCACACAAGCATCTGTTGCGGACACTACAGCCAGGTCGTATCCGTAAAAGTCTTTGCTGTTGCGATCAATGCTAAGCTGAACACCGAAAGGGCTTTCCTAGCGCTGGTTGCTGGCCTGTGGGCATTCGGCGATATATTCGCTCACTTTGGCACATTAGTTTTAATGTGCGCAACCATTGAGCCAACACAGAATACGACGCTTTATCGTAATCGCTTCTGCGACAACCGCTGTCATAATTTGTGAGGCAACCAACAACAATTAAACGAGGATGGCGCAAAGAGGCTCGGTAATCACATATAATTAAAATAAAAAACAGGTGTTTTAAAAGGTGTTGAAGCGGTTTCGTGGCCGACCGTTTACATTTTAGCAACTTTGAAATATCAATTAATGTAGGACAGGTCAGGCGTCGGCAAACTGAGGAAGTGAGGTTCTTGTGCTCTTGGTGTGACAAACAATAGAAACGTTAAAGTGATGAAAGTCGAATTTGAGTGATTTACAGATCGCCTGGATACCGAGCTACTTAAAATTAAGTACCAAATTATTCTAAATAAGTAAGCATAGTTCTGCCTGTGACTATGCCGAAGGCTTCATACCCTTCGTAAACATTAGAAAATTTTATTTCAATCGACTACTGCATTTTAAATATAGTTGCTTGGCAGCTGGACAACATTTTTACCTTCACTGCGTAAGTCTTATATAAAAACATCATATCTGAACAATCGGCGGTATGGTATAAAGCACCGATTACAGCACCGCTCTTGACGATTATCTTAGTAGAGAAGTAGTAGTAGTAGTATTTAGAAAACAGCTCTCGAAATTTCTCAGTCTTAGGCGTCCAAAAAAAGGTTTCAAAGTAAAATTTGTATATATAGTTAAAGAGAGTCGATCTTTGTTATTTTCACTGTAAGCTTTATGTTAACAATGAGTGAGGATTTACAACTAAAAATCTCATAACTGAACAATCAGTTGTATGGGAGCTATATGTTATAGTGGTCCAATTTTTCTGGTTCCGACAAATGATTAATACACCCGCTTACCAAATTTTAGTCGGATGCCTCGAAAACTGATGGACTAGATTACGTTCAAACGAACAGACAGACGGGCATGGCTAAATCGACTCAGCTTGACATTCTGATCAATTTGGTAAACATTTATATCGGCCTATCTCGCCTTCTTCTGGTACTTACAAATATAAGACTCAAATTATAATACCATCTCATATTGATCAAAGGAATACAAATATAACTAACGCAAGGAAATTTCATGGTGGAGTTTTAAAAAAGTCAAAAAGCGTGAGATTTTTTTTTAAGACTTATATAATAGAAATAGCCTTAACGGGTCCCAAACTACTCCCCAACTAGTCACGAATTGGGCCCCACCTAACCCCGAACTGGTGCCCAACTAATCCAGAAATGCTCCTAAACAAGTCCCGTCTTTTAAGACTTAAAAAATTTTTTCGCGCTCATAAATATTATGAAAATACTTTTAAAATATAAGTCTTAAAATAAAAGTCTTTGAAGACTTAAAAATATTTATATCAATGATAATTATTATGAAAAAACTTGTATAATATTAGTCTTAAAATAAAGGTCTTTGAAGACTTAAAAATATGTATCTCTCTAATAATAATTGAATAAAAATTATGGATGAATTATTATTGAATAATAATTATAGATGACTCGAAAAATATTTATCTTAATATAATGGTTATTGAATGACTTTTATTCTTTTCTCTTATAATAGTTATGTGTCTGCCTTTTTCTATATAACGAATTTCTAATGAAACAAGTAATTTTTAAGCAAAAAACAAAACCGACTTCAATTCTCATATGAAAATTTAAGACTATCGTTGATTTCTTCATTGGACCACCTCTGATGAACTACCTTTCTTTAAAAAAAAAATAATTTTAGAAATCGGTTAAAGTCGAATTTATGACCTTCTCCTCCATTTTTTGAAGTCGGTTAATAAAATGCGGGAGACCGTAAGCAACAAAATTTCAAAAAATCAACGGCAGTTTTTATAAATTGCGCCTGTTATATAAAAAAAAAAAAAAAAAAAAAAAAAAAAAAAAAAAAAAAAAAAAAACAAACACCACGGGGATTTTTCGCCGGGTGAAACTTGCACTTCATCAGACTAAAATTGAATGGGCTACAAAAATGCATACTCGAAAATTTAGAAATTCTCAACAATAAGTTGAAAATTTTGATCAAGATTACGTTTGCTGACGTTTTGCACAAAGTTTAGGAATTATATTTTTATGTTTTTTTGTTGTTGAATGAACCATATTTTTATACAAAATTGGCGGAAAAATATTGGAATAAAAATTATTGCATATACATATTGTGAAAAATTTGCTGTGCCAAAACTTTGTTCCGGCAGTGTATGTATGTATTTCTTAATTACATAAAAAAAAAATTGATGTCTATGTGCTTAATAAATTACTCGACAAGGACTTTCTAATTGTGTTTAGAAATCCAACACGCATATTAGCAACAAAAGGTATTACACGCATGTAAATATGTAACAAGTGGATTGTTAATGGTCTTAAATTGGTTTCTAAAGACCAGTTGAGAATATCAAATGGGAATTTGACAGCGATTCTGATGTAAACTTTAAACTATGTAGTTCTGGATATTATTTTGATCCAGTGCGTTCTACTGCGGGGAAATCAATTAGATTTTAGCCGCACATGGCAAATATTAATTTTAAGCATTGACAAAAGCCTTTGATGACATGCAAATAGTATTTATTTTTGAACTTGATTCATGCGATAATTGTAGAAATGGAACACAAAAGTGTACAATTTTTTTTTTCGTTAAATATCTGGCGGACAAGCTTAATTAATCGCAGTCACCGACATAACTCCCATTTAATAACCCCGACACATATTTACATTTTTACGTACTGGCACATGCCACAAAGTCATGCAAATACATACTCGCAGACACACTTGCACACACACACACACACACACACACACGAATCCGATTCGTTCATTCATTTCAAGGTTTTCGAACTCTCACCTGAATAGTTGAGCGGCGTTTTTAACACCAATAAAGCAATATCATGATGATACTGGCCCTGTTTATAGTCTGGATGTACAATCACATGGCTAATTGCATGGTTGACAGAGCGAGGCGCACAAAATCCTGTGCTCGCACAATCCGGATCGGTGGAAGTGTCGTATTCACCCACGCGTACCGACGAGCTGGTGACAAGAGAGAGTTTCAGCGATATAGGAATATCAGCGACAATTAGATATGTACATATGTAGATCATAACTACGTTGTATATCTTACAGTCGATGTCCTTCTGCCTTGGCCAAAGCACAGTGAGCAGCTGTTAAAATGACGCGTCGTGCGATGACCGAACCAGCGCAAGGATATGCGAAAGCACCCGTGTTGATATCTGCATAAGAGATTGTGAGCATTTATTAATATTTATTTAACTGGGAATCTTCGTTTTTTTTTTAGTCGTCTTTCCACACTTACGCTTGAAACCGACGCGCGCCACGAACGGATGCGTACCTAGGCCACGATAGAAGTGTCCTTGCACCAGCGATTTGCCGCACACTTGATTCTTCTCGAGCGGACTACTTGGACAGCAGACGTATGGCATTTCTTCACCTCCACCGCAAAATAACGATTTATCGCCATAATAGCAACGCTTCGCCACTTCATAGATCAATGCCGTGCAGTCGTGTAGCGGCGTACATTCCGTGCCCACCGTACACTCGGTGCCGGCGTCGTAGTAGGAACGTGGCGCATAAGAGCGGCCTTGTGTCGATGCTGAAGTGCTAGGTACGGCGTAAGTATCGGGAACGACAAGTTTTTCTTTAAAAAGAGATTTGGTGGTTCGTTATAAAAAAGAATAATACTGGCAGCCAAATCGTGTGCTAAAGTTGTTTCAACTACTAACTTTGGGCTTTTAAAGGCCGTTTTCTCAAAACTAAATTTATGTTTAAAGGGCAGATAAATTTTAAAACCTACTTGAGAAAACGAGTCTTATTTCTTTGCACTAAAGGCAAAAGCTTCCGAGCTTCGAAACATTTTAATGCCGGGACCCATGGCAGTAATTTCAAAATGGCTGGGATGAGCGGTATCGGAAAGATTTAAAAAAAAAAAAAATAGCGGGCGGGACGTGACGACAATTCGTTCCTAATACTCCCGATTAAATCCACGATGGGCCGAGTAAAATATATCTATTTTAACCAGAAAAGCTGAAGCCTAAAAAGTGATCACAATCAAAATAGAAACTGAATCAGTAGATAATAATTACATCTAATACTCCCGTCCTCTAATCTGGTGTAGTTCTCTAACCTATAACATTTTCCAAATTTCTTCAATTCTGCCTGGATATTTCTAGACATTGCGAAATTTGGTGTTTCTGCTGCTCTCAGACCACTGACTCTTGGCCCAAGCCGACAAACCGTTGTAGTACATGTCATCGATTAGGTATCCACACAGTTTTTAATTAATTTTTCTACAAGCTGTAGTTTAAAATTATTCTTGTAAGGATACCAATTGTATCGATACTATACGACTCAAGTTCATATGGAACTCGCAAATCTTGTAGAGTATCCTTTTTGGAGTGTAACTGGCAAAATAATTAGAAAACTCGAAATACCAAAATTATGTTCATACAAAGTTTCGAGATTTTCGAGGCTTTTTCAATATTAAGGAAACAACCATAATTGATTTTTTTGCCTTCACTTTTTCTTATTTTTAACAATTTTAACACGGAAAAGTAATTTTTTTTTTTATAGGATTTTTTTTTCACTTTTCACTTTAATCTTACCAAAAGCACCAAATTCACAATTTCCGGTAGCGGCAAGCCAACCAATTATAACCAGAGTAATAACCCGATTGTTATTTGAAGCGAAAAGTTCCTGCCATAACATTTTGCCACAACGTAAGTTACTCGACGGAGCGTAATTGATTTTTTTTTAATTATCCCAAAAATATTAGTTAAGCGCTTATCGAAAAATGCATACAATAAAGTATAAGATTTGCGTATAAAAATGTTTCCGCATAAAATAATTTTCACAAAATTATTGGTGAAATTGTAGGTAAGCAAAGCAATTAAATTTAATGCGTGCAAATGCGATGACAACGCTCCGGCAACTGGTCAACGGTTGATGATAGTTACAGGCAGTAATGGCTAGTACAACAAATTTTCTAATATTATTATTTTTTTTTTTTTTTCAGAACAAATGGAGTAACGCATAAATGAACCTTTCATACAAAAGTATGTATGTATGTTTAAATTTAAACATTTCGTGTAGTAATTTGTGTTTATAGCTGTAATTCATGCATGCCTATGTACGTATTTAGGTATTTACACTCGTTTGTACGTTGCCCTGCAGCAATGATAGGGAAAGAGAAAAAATAATTATCAGATTTTTTGGATGAGCAGAGTTAAGATCAGCGTGTTTAAAAAATGATTTATTTGTGATGACTCCAGTCGTATGTAAGTATCTAGGTAAACAACGTTTTGACAAAACTCATCAACTAGCTATGTACGTATGTACATACGTATGTATGTATGTAGACTTGAAACAAGAAAAACATTATGCAATTTTCAAAATTTGGAAGATTTTTTAGAATCCTTATAAAACTAATACGTATGTAATATGCAAAATGGGAGTTGAGTTTTTGAAGTCGTTCTGCTATCTTGGGGATTTTGAATGCCTTATAAGAAGCATTCTTTTTCAGACGCGATGCCCGTTCCTCTACGAAAGCTTCAAATGAAAATTACATTAACGTACAAGCCGTGTTACCTAATACCCAAATAAAAGAAAACTTTGATCTCTTTATAAATCGAAAATTTTTATGAAAATGTCACTTTATAAAGCTCTTTAAATTTCTTTTAATTTTTTATGAATAAGGCCATAATTCCATACTTATGTTTTAAATGATTTTTATTTTGTGCGATAGGCTTTTAAACATGCAAATTGTACGCTAAGCACCGTTACATGCCTTTTTTTCCGCCGCAATGTAGATAATATAGAGAAAGGTCTGCATGACGATCGCTTCCATGTGATATTCACATTTCACTGGTTACAAGCCGGTTCTATTCATAGCTTTTAAATAATTTCTAAGCACTCACTCACTTTCATGTAAGGTAGGCATGTAATTTATGTTTGGTTTTCTTTTTTTTACCAGCCTTTTTTCATTCATTTTTTCCACGTATAGATATGTAGCTTGTTTTTACTTTCATTACATACATATTTCACTTTATTATATTTTAAAAACAATTTCAACTTTTTATGAGCTTTTTCTACTTTGCACTTTAATACATATCTACATTATTATTATTAGCATAGTAATTTGCATTTGTTGTTGTTGTTGTTTTTTTTTTCATAATTCTATAGGTACACACGAACATTTTATAGCACATTTTAGACACACTTAACGCACTTTTGCGAAGCAACAATTGGTGTGGAAAAATACTGCATACATAAATAATAATAATGAGCTGAAATCATAATTTCATTTGCTAAGATGTCCTCGTCTAGCACTTAAAATTGTCTAAGGATTGATGCAAGGTTAATAACAATTTTAGAAAAATGAAATAACATGACAATAAGCCAATAAAGGTATTCATTTTAAATCTTTAGTGTAATTTTTGCAGCTGTGTAGAAAACGGTGCACATGTACATACATATGTATATACAGATGCTAATTAGTAACAAAATTCAAAATGATATTGTTTACAAATTATGTTTATTTATTTATATTATAGTACAATCTATAACAGAAACCACAATAATAAAAGTTTTAAAGGTTACACAAATTGCAAAAAAAAAATTAATCAAACTTCAAAAAATTTTCATCAAAATTTCAAAAATTTTTAATTAGAATACATATTTAGAAAATTTTCGGGTATGCAGTTTTGTGTTCAATTGTAGTATAAGAAAGTGCAAGTTTCAAGTCGTTAAAAATTACCGTTGATTTTTTGGATTTTTTTTTTGTGGAGGGTGTTGCTGTTTTTTTTATATATGTATATAAAAATTTATCATGTGGAAACTTGCACTTTCTTATACCACAATTGAATGGGATGCAAAACTGCATATCCAAAAAATGTTCTAAATATTCCATTTAAAAATTTTGAAATTTTGATGTCAAATTATTTAAGTTTGTTTAATTTTTTGCAATTTGTGCAGGCGTTTAAACTTTTTTTATTGTGGTTTCTGTTATAGATTGAATTATATTTTAAATTCAAATTTTTTAAAATAAATAAATAAACATAATTTGCAAACAATATCATTTTGGATTTCGTTGCTAATTAGTTGAACGCATCTGTATGTATGTATACATGTTTTGCACTTTATGGGTCGTTTACGGATGGCAACCGAACTTCAGTTGGGTGGAAAGTGGCTCAAATTGTATTACAGATGGCAACTGGCATCTGGCAGCTGCTCAATTAGATCTTCCATACCTTTTATGAAAATGACAGTACGTTTTGGCATATTGTTTATCAAATTTTTAATCATGTCCATAACAATACATATCATTCAAACAACAGGAGTTTCGAACTCCGTTCTGCATTAATTTTTTTTGCCACCTAGTCTAAGAAATAAATGGAATAATTTCGCAAGGGTGAGACGAAAATTGCGAAATTTTTTGGGCTCGTCTAAAACCGACAAATAAGAAAAAGCTGTTCAAATAAAAAAGTACTCTTTCATCAAAATGAAACACCGAATACTTCGGAGCAAACAAATACCAACCTATTTAAATAAATTACACTTCTAATTTCTTCCTCATCGAAGGTATTTTCCGGATCTAAGCCCCGTGATTAGTGTCCGTTGTCGAAAAATATCTCGACGAGAAGACGTTGGTGTCAAATGAACCGGCTTGATAGTTGAACGCCAAGAGGCAAATTAGCAGTCTAATGTTTCTAAACAATAGATGGCGGGCGGATCAATCAGGCCTTTTTAGCAAATGTCTAACAAATGAGGTCAGTAATTAGTTATCCACCTAACTTGCACGCATCACTTTTCAACACAATTTTGTAGACGAGGCATAGGATATATGTACGTATGTATGTACATTAAGCCGTGTCACTATGTACGAAAGAAAAAAGTCAGTTTTATTTGCACACTTATGTCGAGTGTAAACATTTTTATAGGCACCCGCTGAAAACAAAAAAAAAGTGTTAACAAGTGACCTTGCGACAAAAACCAAAAAATTTCAAAGCATACGAAACCGTCAATGACTATACTCATGAAACAACGGGCCAGATATAGTGAAACTACGAATTCAATATTTCTCTCTGACGTCATGCCATTTTTTAAAGGAGCTTGAAATTTCAGAAATATCATGCTGAACAGATTCCTCGGCTCAAAAAAGTATTTTTTACAGCTGCGATTGCTTCTTCAGGGAAATTTTTTCCCCAACGGAGTTACAACCGGCCAAGTGAAGGTAGATTTTAAAAATCGGACAACAGACAAGAAAGTTACAACAACAAACGCGATTTAGCTGTTTTTAGCGGGTGCCTAAAAAAATTGTACAGCCAAAATTTTCTCTCGGCATACATACATAATGCTGGACTTCCACTGATCATTAAATGACAAAATTTTTTTATGACAATATTGGGCATTAAAAGATTTCGGAGGATTTATAACAAAGTGGAAAAATTTAAATTTTTTAAATGGCATAAATGTTTTGCCATTTCAATGCCTAGTGGAAATTCGACATAAGTGTTCAAATAAAACTGGCACACGCTAAACTTTTTTTTCATGTTACGCCCTAATGTACATACATACATACACATTGCTCTAATATTGAACGACAAAATGGTGAATAAACGTAAAATTTGCAAAAAAAAATTAATCATGAAATGCTGCATGAAATTGTTTGGAAAATGCTGAACGTTAATAAGCAACGCAACATTATTACATAATTCTAAAATGATATGTGGATGAAGTGACCATAGCTCCATAAGTATAATAAACATATGTATGTACTCTCACCAACAACAAAGTGTAATGTTGCTAATTTTATTTCAGCAACAATGGTTGTTGGTTCAATCAACTTAACTGTGAGTCATACAAACATACATACATATGTAGGGTATGGACAACTGGCATCTCACAAATGACGGCAGGTAACAAAATAATCACCTAAATCTGTATAATTTGGTGACAGCTGCCTAATGAGTGCGGTGGGAAAAATTAAATAAAAAAATATTGTAAATAAATCAGATTAATTGGAAATGCGGAAGAGTTTTAGCAAACAAAAAATTGCCAAAAAAAAATAAAAAATCACGGAATTGGCAGAATTGTATTAGTATTTTTCATGTGCGACTAAAACAATTACAAAGGCTGCAGTTTTAGTTATGTGCATACAAAATTGTGCTTAATTTCCGCATTTTAAATACATATACATATGTATGTATATCTGTGTTCATATGGAATAGTAGCTTATGTCGAAAGGTTGGCTTTAGTATAATGCGACATTTGCAGCATACTCTCTGGCGCGGTGCCGTTGAAGAACTTTTAGCAAATAAACGTGCAAGAAATAGTTCCGATACTAGCAAGTCAATATTCTTATTAGGTTTCATCAAAAAATTCCTTGTCGTTTAAAGCATAAAGGGAATGCCGCATTATACTAAAGCAAGCTTCTCGACATAAGCTACTATTCCATACGAACACAGATATACATCGTGCTTTAATTGTTACACTGGCTAAGCATGCCAACAGCGATTTAAATACGGAAATTTCAACTGGACCTAAATTTCAAATTAATGCATTTAAAATAAAGAACTCAAACAGTTCTAAACAATTGTTGCATTTAAACTCTCCATTTATTAAAACCGTTATTTGGCATAATTTAAACATTTGTTTAAGCACCATGAAATTGTCTATTACACCATCAGCTGCATATACATACATACGCACATTTAATTGCACGTGCATACATATGTATGTATGTATGCTTTGCCCCAACGACCAAAAATTTAAAATATCCAAAAAACTCCACAATAACTTGCCGATTTTTTAACAAAGCCAAATTTTTTTTTTATTTTTTCACTGTCACTCTCACCAAAACAATTAAAATATAAACAACAAAGCATTTNTTAAAATATCCAAAAAACTCCACAATAACTTGCCGATTTTTTAACAAAGCCAAATTTTTTTTTTATTTCTTCACTGTCACTCTCACCAAAACAATTAAAATATAAACAACAAAGCATTTAAATGGTCATTAAACTTTGAGCTTTGTCCCTAAATGATTACCTCGGATGGCGCAAGTACCCATTACAAAAAAACAAGGTCAGCCGGAAATGTTCGTTTAGAAAAAGTGAATGTAATTAAAGAGCACGTAACTACAATACTCCATTGCATGAAAGAGAAAAAGAGTATGTATGAAATTGAAATAAATACATACTTTCATTTCCAAAGGTTTATGACTTTATTACAAAAATGTTAGTTATTTTAAAAAATGTAGTATTTAAAACGACCTTTCTAAATATGAAACAAATCGGACCATAAATCGATGGCTGAGTGGAAGATCGACCTATCTCGGCAGCCAGTTCGAAAACATTCTATCTCAAAAAACTTTTCAAGAACGCCCTATTTCAGAATTNTGAAATAAATAAATACTTTCATTTCCAAAGGTTTATGACAAATAAAAGCTTGTAAAAATTAGAAATAAGAATCGTTTTACTGTGGAGCTAACAGCGATAGTAATTTTTAATTTTGGTTTTTTAATATAAGGATTAAAAATAATTTTAAATTTTTTAAATAAAATCGNTTTTTTTCATTTCTCGCCACCTAGCGGGTAACTTCCTGATTGCAAGATTCGACCCAAACATACATACGTATATCATGGAAGCGATTTAAATAAAAGCTTGTAAAAATTAGAAATAAGAATCGTTTTACTGTGGAGCTAACAGCGATAGTAATTTTTAATTTTGTTTTTTTAATATAAGGATTAAAAATAATTTTAAATTTTTTAAATAAAATCGGAAACTAGCTGCACATAAAAAATACCAGGTGGTGGTGATTTTTTTGTGGATATTATTCATTGCCCAACTCATTAAATGTCACTTTGTCATTTAATGCAGAGTCAAATCCGGCATTAGTTTTCAGTTTTAAAATAAACATTTTAAAATATAGCTTTTAGATTTTTTTAAATAAAAAAAAACTATTTGTTTCAAATAATTATGTTATATTTTATCAAGATTTATTTGGATGACGTGCATATTTTAGAAATTTTAACAATTTTCATGAAAAGCCAAAAAATTATTAACTTTTTACTTGAAATTTTTCTCGGAAAATTTACGCGAAGGAATTTGTTTATTGTTATTTTCGTAGCTTACTACCTAATACCTACCCAAAACGCAGGCCGTGTAATAATCAAGTGGTGGAAGTGCGCACTACCCTTCCGCAGGGCCTATAATCGAGCCCAGCTTCCGACTAACATCAGAAACAAAAAAAAAAATAAAAGGTTGTTTCTAATAGCTGTCGGCCGCCGACGGGGAATGGGTTAAGCGCCAATCTATTATTATTATTATTAAATACGTAAAGAAAATTTTTTTTCATTATTAGTTTTTTTTACTTATTTTTATTGAATAACATATTACAATAAATAATTTTCATACCATGATCGGCAATAAAATTTACACATAATTTTTTTTTTAGTGGCAGACCAAACAGTATCTTAACGGTATTATATAATTTGGTATTTTTTGGTTTCAACATTCAATAGTAAAAATTATAATTTTATGAAATATTTCAAGTTGATTTAAAATAAATTGTAAACTTATAAAAATAAGGCAAAATAATTAGTGCGGAATAATCAAACATAAACACACAAATACTTGTACCAAAGAAATATATGTACAGTTTTTCACAGCGAAGTAGTCAGATTTGTGTATGTTAAAGATAAAATAAAAAAGAATATTTTAAATACGCGAAGTTTTGCTCTTCAAAGCCAAAGTATATGAATATTCGAGATATTAATGCCCCAAATTAGAGTAACTGCTATTATTTAAAAATTGTTTGTTGTGTTTTTTTTCGACGCATGATTTTAAAATCAAAGTGTCACAAAAATTGGATATACATATGTATACATATTTTAGGAAAATGTGGCAATGCATCGAACTACGCACTTAAATTTGATTACATCACACGTGCTCTTATTTTGTAAAAATAAATTCTAAGTAATGCACAAAATAAGTAGAAACTTGGCTATTAAAAGTGCTCTAAGCGGTAAATTATTTTTGATGTCCCATGCACAAAAGTTATAAACCACTGCGCTTTGAAAGTACACGTTTCCATAAATTTTTTAGTAAATATTGCTGTATAAATATAGAAGTAGATCTTTCTGCTACGTTTTCGGGTTACTACAGTTACTATTTGGCATGAGACTTGATTGCAAGCCATATATGTACGTATTTTTAATTTTCTAGTTACATAATTACCTAGCAAAATTCGCTGCCAACACGAAACTCGTTCGTGGACATTTTCATTTGCATTTACATTATGAAATTAATAGCGACAATTTTTACATTTTCGATTTTTCAATAATATTCCTATATATTGCGTGTGTATTTACATGTATAACTGTAGCTAACAAATACGTATGAATTTTCATAAAATTTGGTCTAATCTAATTATTGTTTAAATATTATTTTACTGCATTCGCAGCGTATTTCTTTTTCGTATGTTTGTATGTATGAATTTTTTTAAGCCATCATCGAGAAATACGTTGCAAAAGAAAAATTTACAATACAAAAATAAACCTGCACGCGTATCTGCATATGTATATCACTACTACAATTTGTACCAACAGTGTACAACATTTGCGCACATACACATAAAAAACGTGTTGTACATATAATATTATGTGTTGAGTATAATTTAAATAACTTAAAAAAAGACACTACAATCATAAAACTTAAAAACAATATATGTATGTGTTCAACATAAAATTGTTGTATGTAGATAATAGCGCTGCAGCTGCATAAAAATATGTATGTATGTATGTATCTAACAACCGCCCGGGTCCAGCACGTTCCATTTTCTCATTGACTATTACATTTTTTCGAATGCTAAGCCTATAAGAGCAAGCAGCAGGCAACTTAATCTATATTTACGTTTCTTCAGACGACAACACATTTATTTCCGAATCGGCATTCTGACCCGTGGCGGTACGTCTCCTAGTCCTAACCAGCTTTCTGTGCTTGCTTTGCACGTTGCATCGCTTCGTATGCCTCACTTTCCTTCTTCTCTTTGGCTTTGTTGCGGCGTTCATACTCGAGACGATGTGAAATAATACGTTCAACAATCAGTTCTGTTGTCATTGAATTTTGGGAATCGATGAGCGTGAAGATGCCGCGTGTCTTTGGTACTGCATATGGATCGATTTTGCCATCTTCCAGCGCAATCGGCGTTTGTCCATGGCACACAACGTCGATTTTAAAGTGATCGAGCAGGTCTTCAGTGACACAGTAGGGTGCGCCGATAACCACTTCGTTGACGTACTAAAAGAAGAAATTATGGTTAAAAAAAGTTAAAACACTACTTTTGATTTTTTTGTTTGTTTTTTTATTTCCGCCTACCTTACACGCCAGCACACTTAGCACGCGCTCATGCAAATTCATAATGGGATAATTACTGCCTTTGTAGGAGTTCACTACTGGATCCGTATGCAGACCCACAATCAAGAAATCACCCAACTCCTTGGCTTTCTCCAAGAAATCTAAATGACCCACATGAAAAAGGTCAAAAGCGCCAGCAACATAAACCTGAACAGAGAGAAGAGTTGCGATTAAAGTACTTGAATGGAATTACTTTTGGTAAGATCTTTTGAATACTTTTCCGTTTTACTTACAATTTTGTCATCTGATTTTGGCGGTTTGCCATCACTGAACTGTATGATCTTCTGCGTTGTGGGCAAAAACTGGCTGCATCCCGTCCATGGGCTCTTGGCTGATGAGTCTTGTCCCATATTCGATGAACCTGATGATAATTTCATGTTTTGTACTTTTGTAGATAAGTCTAATTTTGAAATTGTTTTTTTTTTTTTTTTTTTTTGATATCGAAAAATTGTTAATTTATATGCACAAAAATTGTTATGATTGCACAAAATTGCATACAGATTTTTTACGATCAATCAATTTCAATTACGTTTTAGTACAGGGAGCGCATAGCGTTGATAGTTGATAGCAGTTTCAAAGAGAGTGAAAGAGAGCGTTACGCATGGGATGAATTAGGTATACCATGCAGCATTTGGCATTGCATATTTTCAGGCGTACGTTATACAATAATTTTACGATCATTAATTATAAGTTTTGGTGCCATGGCAGTTGCGATTTTTAGTATTAGCAAAATACGACAAATTTATTTTAATGTTATTTATATTATCAATTAAGTCAGGATATTGTGTGTATTTTTTGGAAATTTGGTTTGACATGTAAATAGAAATAAAAGAAAAGAGAAAAGAGGATAAACAAAGTGTAGAAACGAATAAAACAAACATGCGTGAACGTGTGTAAATTTGGAAAATATTTGCGGCTGTAAAACACAAAAATTCAACTACATGCAACATTTTAAAGATACACACACACATATGTATATACATATGTACATATGTATGTTAAATTAATGTGAAAATATACCGGTTCATATAGAGTTAATCAAGAATGTACATACATACATACATATCGTCACCTGAGTGGAAGATCGACCTATCTCGGTAGACAGTTCGTAAACGTAACGGAATGATTCGGGTTTTACCCGAGATCTTGTTTCTTGCGATCTCGCCCGGTTTAGGTCGGCGATGCCCTTCATTAATCATTTCACGTCCATGGAGCAATACCTTGCAGCCGGATTGCTCCGCATCCTTCTTCTCCGGACGGGCGTTGAACCCAACCCCCGACCAGAAACATACTTCTGCTGCGTTTGCCAGAGACGACTCCATCCGAACTCTACCTAGGTTAGGTGCAATTCCTGCAACGGATGGAGTCACCTAAAAACCTATTCTAGCCTTTGGTTTCACAGGGAGTGGACCACAAGCTTGGTGGCCCCCTGTTGCTCAAGCCAAACGGCACCACCGGCTACCCGCTCGCGCAACGCGCTGGTGCGAACTCGCACCCAAAGACCCTGCAGGGCTCCAAGAAGCTCCCATGGGCAACAGCAAACCTCCCCACCCGCTCAACCCTCACACCAATCTACCGGCCACTCCTACTCGCGTGTGCGAGCCAACCAGCAGCTTCTGGTTGCCCACACTATCTGCTCCCTGTGCCAGAAATGAGTATAACGGAACGTGACATCAGTCAACTGCAACACATGCCTTGGCTTCTTGACTTCTGTCGATGCTCTGGCCTACGCACCACACGCGAGTGGACAGCAAACTACAGCGCCCCCTGCTGCAGAGCACTGCCGACCCAGACCAGGCAGCAAACGCCACTACGCCGGGTGCAACAGGCCCAAGGTAGACTCAACTCTATACACACCGGCGAACGTCAGTTCCGCAGAGTTGTCACTTCCGCAGCCGCTCGCTTCATACTTTCCGGACGCATCGCGGAAGTCCGCCCAAATTTCCCGGCTGAGGCAGCTGTACTAGCAAATGAGCGTGACCACCTACGCCAGGTCGATCCCGGGGATCTACGCTTGAAGGACCTTAATTTGGAGATTCGGCAACTGGTAAATCAGCACAAGCGGTAAAGGAAAAGCGCTTGAAGTCCTGTAACTGCGTCTCTGGTGTGTGTAAGCTCTGGCATACCGTGAAGTCCTTGTCCAACTCGACGAAGCACGACGGCAGAAATTTCATTCGAAGGTCGCGCCTCGTCGGACCCGAAGAAATGCGCGAACTACTTCAGCCGGCAGTTTACACTGCATCCTTTGGTAGACAAGGCCAAACGTCGAGTGATCGGTAGGCAGCACAAACTGCCCAAAAGCAGTACACCACTTGTTTTCACCAGGGGCGAAGTGAAGGGGGCCATCGGGAAGGCGAAAGCCTCCAAAGCCATTGGACTCGACAGAATCTGTATGCTGATGCTGAAACATTTGGGACCAGCGGGAGCAGCATACCTAACGGAGGTCCTCAACCTGTCAATGACCACTCTCATAATTCCTGATATGTGGAAATCAGGGAAAGTGGTCCCACTGGTGAAACCGGGGAAACCCGCCAAGGGTTTCTGGCTACATACAAGGCATTTGGCCGGCCGATTCTAAAGTATGCAACGCCAGTTTGGTCGCCGGGGACTAGTTGGAAGCAGTGAACGAAGCTACAGAGTTGTCAGAACGCCGCACTCCGGACAGCGACAGGGTGCGTTCTGATGTCGCTTGAGCACCACCTACACTGCGAGGCCCAAATGCTCCTCGTACGGGAGCACAACAAAACGCTCTGTAAGCAGTTTCTGGTGGGGTGTCACAGAAGTGAACATCTTAACAGACCATTGCTATATAAAAAAGCCGTAACTAACTAAAATTTTGTATTGCTCAAAATTATGCGGCGGGGACTTATAATTCGATAAAATGCATCATAATCAATGAAAACGGGAATTTTGAATTTGTACTTAGTAACGGTTTTTTTGTATTTCAGCGGCTATGTGAGATTGGGCCTTTCTATATTAAGGTAACGCTATGTATGTATGTACTTTAGACCGTATCACAAAAAAATTGAACGTGTTCCGAGCGATCTTGACATTTTTTTTTTACTTCTCTTATTCACATTTAGCATGTTCCCGTACTGCAGGATTTATAGTACAGTCCGAAGTCTAGGTACCAAACGTTTAGCTATAAAAAAAAAAATAAAATTAAGATCGATAGAACTTTTTTGGCTGATTTCAATCATAAAGTTCAACTTTTTTTATATATATACTATCTCGGAAACGACTCGACTGATTAGGAAAGTATTGATGCTCATTTAAAGATAATTCAAATACCTCTTATGCGACGTCCATTATACTATAACCATTTTTCAAACAAATTTTAAATAACCGCCATTAAAAAAAAATATATATTTAGTTTTTTGTTTTTTTTTGTATTTCCGGCTTAAGAATATAAAAAATTTAATTATAACTAGTAATCTTTAAGCAAAATCTCTTAATCTTAATCACTTCATCCAATGAAAATCTATAAAAATTACCTGGGACCACCTCTGAGGTACCTCCTTGCCTTTAAAAACTTAATTATAGAAATTGGTTAGCGTGGCCCAAAGTTATGCGGTAACATACATAAAAAAAAAAATAAATTAAAAATTAAAAATTAAAAATAAAAATAAAGTAAATAAATAAAAAATATTCGAAACGAAATCGACGAATTGATAACCTCCTACTTTTTTTATGTCGGTTAAAAATTAGTGGCACATCACCTTTATTTTGACATCATTAGATTTTAATAGGCTATGTAGTTCAGAAGATATTATTAAAAAAAATTTAACTTCAACCTGTAATATCTTCTGTATTTATTGGTATGGTTGAAATCAGCCTAAAAAGTTCTATCGAGCCGCATTTTTGGTTTTCGCATAGCTAAAGGGTTAGTATTCTAGACCTATGTGTACGCTACGACTTTGGACTATTTCTGATTAAATGCTATAGTACGGGAACAGGGTAATTGTTAAAATATATCCGTGCGGCCAAAACGTATAAAAATTCGACCAAAATTTTTGCACTGTGCTGCCAAATTTAGTCACTCTCATAGGGTGTTCAAAATACATCGTGATACGGTCTAATGTACATATTTATATAGTATGTATTTTAAACTACGAAAATATAAATTTTCGAAAACTTTTTTCAAAACGCAAATAAAAATAATGTTCCAATAGCCATGTGTTCTCTCTTTTTTCAATTGCTTAGAAATCTAAAATTTAAAAAACCTGTATTTACTATTTTTATATTTTAAGTAATTCGGAATTACTAATTCTCATCAGCTCGAAATACAACAACCAAAACTGGAAAGATGGAAAACTCGAAGAATTTCTTATAGAATGTTGCGACCCTTTCATGGTTTTAGAGGCCTTTTCCAGTTTGGGGCGATACACCCAGTGGAAAAGAGGGAAAACTGGACCTGGTTTCTTCGTCGCGTTTCGAAATCTATTTGACTTGTTTAATTAAACACATAAAAAAGTAAAAAAAAACTTGATCCACGTGGAGCACTCAACTATAAGCATAATTCAAGCTGAGACTGAGAAAGCGTATACCAATTGAGTTTGAGCTTAAAAAAATTTAAAATAGTTGTTAGTAACTCAACGCCACAAAAAAAAAAACACAAAGTCCAAGAAGCATAGAAGGCAGTATTAATATATTTTTAAAAGCGTTGCAACATTTATTTTTTTTTTTAAATGATTTTAGAGTAAAAAAGATTAAAAATAAATTAAATAAAATGGAAACATAAAATAATATGCAGATGACAATATTAAGGCAATTTTAACTAAAATATGAATATTGTTAAAAAAGCAGAATGAATAATACAAGAATATATTGGGTGTACAAGGATTGATATTTACATTTCGTGGCGTGGATAAAAGATTGTACTAAGCGGCATTTTGACGATTTTTAGTTATAGATGCAGCTATACATATATTTTAAATAAATTATATATTTTTAAATAAAATTAAGTAAATACAAGGAAACAAAAAGTGAACCGGTTCGGGGAAAATGAAACTCATGATAAGACTGATTGATTGACAAAAAATGTATCAGTAATTTAGTAAAAATTTAGTTATAATACAGTCATACTAAACTAATCAAGATCTTTCAAATAGCGGTATCCATTTTTGGATATCTCCTTTGGTTTCCGAGATTTTGAGTAAAAAGTATCATCAAAGTAAAATGCGTAAAAATTTTTGTGAATATCACAATTCTTTATTTGTCCAGTTAAGCGGACTAGTCAATTTTCGCAGAAATTTTCTTTCCCGATCTAAGAAAGTTACTGAGTTTCAATTAGTTTTTCATTCCTATTTATGCACGAAATGTTTTAAGCAAAGCAGCCTTTTTGCAATAAAAGTTAAGAACTTAATTGTACACCCAAAATAACTTTCAACGATTATATGAAAACAAGCAAAATAGTTTATATGCAAAAACAATTTTGTGGTAAATGAAATATGAAATTTTAAGCTGCAAAAATTCGCATACATAGATAATATGTTATAATATATAAGCCCCATGATATACAAATGCCAAGTCTAATTTATGCTGAGATAAGCACTAAATGTAAAGAATTTACCTTCTTTCTCAATGGCATACTCTGCCGAACCTTGACGGAAATGATTGCGCGTCAACAGCAACATGCGTCCGACTAAATCTGTTGTTGAAACGCCAGCAGTACGACGCACTTCTCTGTGAATCACAATAAATGTTGAAAACAAAAATATTAATTCAAATTTAAAACTATTATCGAGATTTTATTTACATACTTGTAACGATTGGCAGACTTAACGAGGTGATATGTGTCCACACCTTCAGCGGTCATTGTAATGTCATCTGAGACGCCAAAAAATAAAAATAAATGTTGAAGCAAATTTACAAAAAAAAAAAAAATGGCCTTCGTATAAATCGTGCAGTTACTCACCGCCATGCACACAGAAATCACAGTTGTATTCATCGAGCACCTCGAGTGTTGTCACATAGGGCGCGCCAAGCACCACCTCATCCACCCATTTGATGCCCTTGACCATTTTAACGCGTTCTTCTTCCGTAAAGACGGGTGGTCCCTTGTGTTTTGTGATTTCCTCATCGGTGTGTATGCCGACAATGACCTTATCGCCAAGTGCTTTGGCTTGTCGCAGGGAATTGGCATGACCGAAATGCACCATATCGTAACTGGAAGGGAACAGTGTTGGTTTCTTATTAGCAATTGTTTGATGTTGAATATGAAAATAACCCAATTAAACGTCGTGTTCTTGAATGTTTTGCATGATGACTTTTATGAGCCTATTGTTTAAGTGTGCGCACTACCTTTGGCTAGCTCCCAAGGACGATAAAAGATGTTTTTTTCTTTCGGGCACCATTAACACCTCTGCAGGCAAAGGCATACCTTCAATTATAAAACCGTAGGTCTCTCCTTAGTGTGACAACATCAAACGATAATCACCAGTTGTAGGAGAATCTCAGCCAGATACATGGCAAATGTGTGAGCGCCAAATATTTTTTTGCTTGCAAGTGAGAGTGGTAGTTTCCAATTGCATTTCGTTATACTCATTTATAAAGCTTTAAGTTACACAACTGTCACATTTATGATTGATAATAATTTGCAAATAAGTTAACTAAAACCTCAATTTCACTAAACAAATACGAAAAATATCAAATACATTTAAAACCGCGAAAAATTACTACCAAAAAAAACTAAGTTCTTTGTTGAGTTCGGTCACGCGTTTTATATACTAGTTCCTCCACACGATTCAAAACAAAACGACAACGTTGTTAAATTTTTTTTTTTTTTTTTAGATTAGATAAGAAAGCACTTGAAAAGTGAGTATCGCAAAAATCAGCAAATTTACGAAAAAATAAATAATTGTGTATGAGTCAAACGAGTATTTGCACAATGCAATTGACTAGCCTTATTAAAGATTTCACGCAAAAGAAATCTATATATCTATAATTTTGAACCACTAAACGGAATCGCACGAAACTTTACACACTTATTTGCTTTTACCCCGGGAAGGTTATAGGTATGGTTTTGCGAGGGGGCGTGGCACCTCCCATAGGACTGCAAATTTTTAATCAGCTATAACTTCGGAATCATAAGTCACATGAACTTGAAATTTGATATGCAGACAAATCGATGGTAGATGCTTATAGTACGGTACGTATATATAAATTACTTTGTAGGAGGGGGCGTGGCATATCTCATTGTCGTGGAATTTTTAATCAGCCATAACATCGGAACCACAAGTCACATGACTCCTTTAATTCCTTTGGGTATGCCTTTCGAATTTAAAAGACTTCAGTTTCCAGTTCGCTTAGCTTTTGCAATGACAATAAACAAGAAGGCCTTAAACTCGAAACTTTATCGCAAATAAAATGTATTATAATTGTATTGGAAAAGGCATTTATGTTAATATTTAGACACTTTGAAGTATTAAAAAATGCTGTGAAATCGTATTAGAGTTATTATTCGTAAGAAATTAGATAGTATTTCTTCTATTCTATAAATTATTGGAAATATTTTAACCTAAATAAAAACACCTGCAGTGCCAAAAAAATATTATTGCATTTCATTTCATAACGCCCAAGCTATACAGCTGTCTGCTATCGCGGCTATAGTAAAATTAGAGCAGAAAGAGAGTATAACATCGTTACATAAAGTATTTTTCATATCTGTATAAAGACGTGGGATGAAACCCGCGGATAAAAGCTAGTACCCTAATAAATAAAGTAAACATAATGCAAAACATTGTTAGCGAAAGTGTAAGTGACATAGGGCAAAAATTGTAGAACATCTTCTAATTTATACGCAAACATAGTGCCAGCATCTTAGACCCACTCATACAAAGTTATACGTACAAATGTATGTACCTACAGTGGTGGAAAAATATATGTATACTGACGCTACAATATGTAACACCTTTAGCAAAAAATTATCAAAAATTAACGGTATTTTACAGAAACTTAACTCTTTATTATACTATTGCTATTAAATGGGCTGTCAAGTCAAACTACATGCCAACATTTTTTCTAAAAATTCTGCCTAAAACGTTTGAAATTTTGACTAACATGGTTTTCGTTAGAAAATGAGCTACACTTTTATAAAAAAATAATTGACACTAACAGCCGGTTCCACCAGCAATGTAAATGCAAAATGATTTTTTTATTTTCTGTCAATTTCCATATAAAATTCAAAAAATTAAAATCATTGTTTACTTAAATTGCTTTCTTGCAATCGGCTGGAAATAAGCAAAAGAAAAATAGCCAAAAGTTGTTAACTTTACCCGCCCGTCCCTATTTATTTTTCCGCCACTGTATGCATGTACCTATGTACATATGTACCACATATATTTGGTTTAAATCAGGATACTATAATTCTGTGGACATTTGTGAACTTCGTCGAATTATTATAAATCTTATACAAAGTTTAAAGCTTTGAGTTATATGATTTTTTAATAGCATGCGCTATATTTTCCTAACACCTAACAATATAGAGTAAATATAATAAATAAAAATAGATGGTCAAAACTTGAAAAAGAAAATCGTTTCTAATTATCCGGCCACCAGTGTACGTACATACATAAATATATACAAGTAATTTTTAAGCAAAAAACAAATCGACTTCAACTCCCATATAAAACTTTAATCAGTATGGCACGGACCACCTTTGAGGTAACAACTTTCTTTAAAAAAAAAAACAAATATAGAAATTGGTTAGCGTGGTCCAAAGTTATGCGGTAACATACATAAAAAAAAAAAAATATTCCGACGAATTGATAACTTTCTCCTTTTTTAACGTTTTTGAGTTTATGAACAACTGTCAAGTGTTCTCGCTGGGCTGTTTAAGATACTCAGAGTTTAATTTGACATTTGTTTTTTTACTTTTTCTTATTCACTTTAGCCTGTTCCCGTACTCCAGGGTTTAGACAGAAATAGTCCGAAGTAGCCGTGGTGTAGAATACCAACCGTTTAGCAAAAAAAAAAAAAGAAAAAATGTGACTGGATACAACTTTTCATGCTAATTTCAACCATATTCCAAGATTATTTTACACAAACCAAAACTAAAGCCACTAAAAGAGGTTAAAGTTAAACTTTTATATTTTTTAAATTTATAATATGTATCTCGGAAACTATTTGACCGATCACAAAAGTATGTATATAATACAACACTTTTTAAAACAAATTTTATATGAACACCATTTAAAGAAAATATATTTATATATTTTTTTGGATTAGGTATTTCTGGCTTAAATATATATAAAAAAAAGCAAAACATTATGAACGTTCTGAAAGAGCCCCTTATTACCTTTATTTTGATGTCATTAGGTTTTTAATAGGTTACGTTGTACAGACGATATTAATATTTAAAAAAATCAAAAAATTTAACTTTAACCATTGATATATTCTTTTTTTTACTTCCGCCAGATAATTTTGGTGGGGTTGAAATCAGCACAAAAAGTTCAATCGAGCCACATGTTTGGTTTTTGCATAGCTAGATTGTTGATATTCCAGACTTATGTGCACGGAACGACCTATTTCTGATTAAATCCTGCAAAGGCACAAACCAAATTCAGTCAAAAAAAAAGGGTTGCGTTCCCATAAACTCCAAATAAAAGTGGTGTTTAAGGAGAGTTTAACGAAAATTATTTGTATGGTAAACTGCGAGTTTATGAGTAGTGTTTAACGTTAACCTCAAAAATGGCACAAAAACTCGTTTATGGCTCAACATGAACATATTTAGCATAAGAAAATTGTTCTCAAAAGACTAAAAATGGAATATGTATGTGGCGGATTTTTAGTTTTTTTTTACGTTGGCAAATATAAAATAATTTTTCCTTGTTGCTAACATTTTCATGGCCAGCAACAGCACTTGAAGCATTAGTTGCCATAAAAGTTCACGAACTTTACACAATTTATGCTAATTATGTGAAAAAACATGCGGCTATAAAAAGCGTGAACTAAACACTAAACCGTAAAAAAAATTTAAAAAAAATTAACATGCAGTTTGGCTATCTAATTTTGCAGCCGTATTTTTAACTATGTATTAAAATTTGCGGAATAGATTTGCCGCCAAATGGCAAGGTAAACCACACAACAACACACTCCTCCACGCACAGTGTCATTCACGAGCGCATCAACTGAGTACCGCTGTCGCTTTTTCAACAAACCACTAGCACCGCTAAATAGCTCATCAGGCGGCGGACGGACTGGACTGGCTTAGTTGTTGTCGGATTGGACTTTGTACCCGATCATATGTTGCAGTTGGTACATACTTATATGTAATTTTATTTTTAATTCTTGTTGTTTGTGTGTATGTAGTGTTGTTGTTTTCTTTTTATAAATGAACGAATACGCAGTCAGAAGACCAGCAGACAAAATGAGTATCAAAAAATTAAATACAAATGTTGCTTTTCTGAGTTTTTTTTCCCCAATTATGTATTTATGTAGCACGTTCAACACAATTCGACTTTCGATCACGTTCTTTCCTTACGAAATAGATATTTGTACGTTTAAAAACTGTACTTTATGTCGTATTTAGATATTTTTTTTTTTAATTAATAGCTTTTATGCGAAAAATTAACATTTGCTCTTCAAAATAAATTTATGTATGTAGGATTAATATGTTATAGAATGTAAGAAATTCAAAAATGGTCTCGAAAATACAGAATATTCGTAGTTAAGTTGAAATGCATGTCGGTAACTCATACGTAATAACCTAAATACATATTCAGTAATTTAACAGTCCGAGTGGGCAGCTGATAGTGACGCATACAATCGATAAAATTGATTATATACTGTACATACATGTGTACATATGTATATACATACATACATAGATATGTATGTACATTTATGCAGGGGGTTATCTTAATGGCTAGACACCGGAGTTATCGGCAACGATATCGTTAAATATTTGATAACCAACATGGCTTATCACGCAAGGGCATACACCAGTTCAGCAGGAGCACGAAGGCGACAAAAAAAAACCAAAATGTTAAAATAAAATGCGATTAAATTTGCTTTGGCAAGGCAGGTGAACTTCAAGGAATACAATTAAGATGCTGGAATCCGATTATTCGTAGTTCCTAACTATCCGACGAGTTGCCAGCCAAAAACAGGAAATTTGAAGTTCATTTTCCATCATCCCTGGTCAATTTTGGTTTGGAGACAAACCGTTTTCGGTGTTGTGCCATCTTCAGTGTAATTTTTCTCCTCGCATATCGGAAGCAGCATCACTTATCAACAGAACATAGAAAATTCGAAAATCTTAATCAGCTGTTTGAACATAAAAGGAAGAGTGAAATCTAAGATCAGTAAAGTTTTTTTTTAAACAATTATAATAGAATACATTCTTTAACCGCTGTAGTTTTGTCCCTGGTGGAAGAACATGCTTTAGTCAACAATTGGATTGATTAATATGCAGGGAAGCTTGTTATGAGATGCTTCTAATCCATTTAGCGTTTTTGGATAAAATGTGAGTTATCTAATTAATTTGACTGAAGTATTATTGTTTTAAATATTTAAAGAATTGTGAAAAAATTTCTCCTCAACAAAGATGCATTCAGTAAAAAATATAAAACAACTGTTGATAATAGAGATTTAAAGATAGTCCTCTTTCAGACACGTCATGTCTTGAAAGCAATTTTTTTTCGCATTCTCTTTTGTGTTTTCTCTTTGCTGCCACACGCGTCAACTTTAATTGAATTCAAGTCCTTGGTCTTTAAATGGGAAGCAACGAAAACATCAAAAGAGACAAGATAACTTGAAACGAATAGACGGAACGGAGGTATCCGTACTCTTCCC